ATTCTATTCTATTATATTGTAATAACTTCTGCAAGCATGAAGCCCACATTTCAGTTCGTCAGTTCTGGTAAGGTCCCCCAAGAAAAACTCTACCTCGTCCTGGGTAACCGGGTAGTACCACGCCCAGAAACTAACCATGGACTTATGAACTTACGCACTCACACATGTCTCAGTATCTTACACCCATTCAAAGCTCTCTCTTAAAATCTGCACGTAACACCTCCACCCATCCCCTACACAATACCCCTCCTTTTTCCACTATTTGTCCCACCCCGAACGGTTCCACCGACGTAGGTTCATGTTGTAGCTTGCCGCTATCCTCTTTGACATCTGTCTCGGGGCCGACCATTCCATTCCTTCGACCTCACTCTGCGTACAAACTGGCTTCATTCAACGTAAGAACTCTAATGCGTATAGGACAACAAACAGGTTTGGCTCGTACGCTCGAAAGTCTAGAGATTGATGTGTGTTGCCTCTCGGAAACACCTATCCAGGATCCGAGCTCAGTGATCCGATTAACGTCTTCTTCCAATCCTATAGAAGCGTTTCAACTGCGCGTCTCCGGGAGCCCTATCGCTTCAGCGTCTGGTCAAGTAGGCGTTGATATTGCCTTAAGCGCCAGAGCCGAGTCTGGTCTGTTGGATTGGATCCCGATAGATAGCCGATTGTGTGCAGTGAGACTCAGAAGCTCAAGTAAGGTCAAAAGCAGAAACCAAATGAACGATGTTTATCCGTGGTTTCTACATACGCTCCCGCAGACTGTAGCCCGGATACAGTCAAGGATGATTTCCACCACAACCTACATGAGCTTCTCCTCAAAGCACTAAGACGGATATCGTGATCCTGGCCGGAGACCTAAACGCACGCGTTGGTCATCTGTCACCTGATGAGACCCACCTTGGTGGCCGTCATGGCCTTGATAACTGTCGTTCAGAAAATGGGGATAGACTTCTTAGCAAATGCTCAGAACACGGTCTGTTCTTCATTAGCACGAACTTCAGACATTCTGAGCGTCACCTCACAACCTGGCGTAATCCCTCTTTGGCACAGACGTGGAGTCAGATTGACCATATAGCCATTAGCTATAGATGGAGAGGATGTGCGAAAGACTGCCGTTCGTATTGGTCTACCTGCTTGGACTCTGACCACGAACTGGTTTGTGCCAAGTTGTCTATGCGTTTTGGTGGCCTCAAAAAGATGCAATGCAAACAGCTCGACGTCGTCAAGCTCTCTTATCCGGCCGTACTAGCCGATTATCAAAACGAGTTGGCCGCAAGGCTAACTACAACCCCACCAAATAGCG